AAAATAGTCTTAAAATAACGTCCTTCAAATCCCCAACTGCATCAGCCTGTAGTTTTAGTTTGTTTCAGAGGTTTCCCTTTGGCTTCTATTGAAACTACAAAACTGCCCTCTATATTTTTTGAGTAATAAAACCACCTGTGATTTAATAAATGTAAGGTAGAGCTGTTTAATGTCATACTGTGGAACATTCCAGGCAGAGCAATGACTTATCCATAAAACCAAACAAGTGAAGGCTCTCCAGCCAGAAAGTTACATAGTGCACCTGCAACTGCAAAAGTAAAAGGATGTCCAAGTAGTCTCTCTTTCAAAGTTACTCCCCTTCAGTTTCTTGAAAGGCAAAGTTCCATCACGCTTGTTATAAGTTTGTAGATGAAAGCATAATTTGATGGTGTTTTGTTTGTTCGTATGTCCATGTATATAATCGAGTCTCCTCCCCTGTAACAGCCAGCACCATGTCGTCTTCACATTTGCATGATTCATATCGAACAAGGCATCTGGGTTTGGATCAGCTAATTATCCTGGCGGGCTTCTCTCTCAAACACCTCTTTGTTGTGCTAATGCGCGGCCCGTGATAGCATCTCCATCCCTAACCTTCCCGGTGCGGGCCGATAACCTGCGGGGGGTGTGGCGGGGTATGTAGGGCGCAGGGAGCTGGGACACTTCGGGATGGGGGGGTGAGTTTGAGGTGGTGAGGGAAGAGTTTGAGGTGGGGAGGGGTGTGTTGCAGTATGTCCAGGTGGCTGTGCCTATGATGTCCTCAACCTGCCCTCTCTGAAAACTAGGCTTCACCTGCGGCACTTTCAGCCTGTATATGATCTATATCCTTCCTCTGAGGACTCTGGAGAATGGAAGCCCTGGTGTACAGTAAATATATACAGTATTGTACTTCAGTTTATGTTTGAATAACCCAAGTTGATTTAATAATTAATCATTGGTCAATGAATGACAAGAAGACTGACATTCACAGCAACAAGCAAGCAAATGGAAAACCCCAGGGCACCCCCTTCTTTTTTACACAGAACAACTGTTGGAAAAAGAGAAACCTCAAGGAGAACCACAGTGAAAGAGAAATCCACTCCCACTGACACAGGGTGTAGATGGATCAAGGACATTTGCTGTTGCAATATTATCTGTCCATTTTATGATTGTTCATGTGACAGGAAGGGCATCTGTTGTATAAACATGCATTGTGTCACGTTCAGTGTGCAAACGTCAACCTATACTGACATTCCTGAAAGTTTCACAATGACGTTTGTCTGATTGCTTCAACATTACTATGAAACTCTGAAGCATGGCTGTAAACTCTGCTTAAACTACTGCAGAGCTACGAGTAATATTCACTTAAGTATTCACAATCCACAGCTGAGCTTTAATGGGGCACATGAGTGGTAAAACTGGGCAGGGGGTGCATGTTATATTTGTTATTTGAGGCATATGATTGGTAAAAGCCTTTTGGTGTGCATTGAACGTTATACTGAGGCCTTTGAAAATAAAACTTCTATACAGCTGAAGTATGTGGGTTTTGTTCTTAACTTTGATTTCATCGATTGTACTTTGGTTCAGACTGATTTTGACGGGTGACATTTTCCATCTTAAAAATGAGATTGGATTAAATATTTTTTATGGAAACCAGAATAGAAAATCTTGCCCAAGGACAACTATAGCATGATTTGGGGAGACAGCTGTAGGGAGATTCAGAAAACAGTTATGGTGGCAACAGCCTCATAAGTGCATCGCCTTAAGCCGCTACAGCACCATCCAGCACGATATTTAAAATCTGTAAGGCCCTTGAAAAGAAAAAGATGTTGTAAAGTTCATAAAATAACATATGCACACTGTATTTATCTAGAGTATAATATGATGTATTTTCCAGGATGATTTTGCAAACATGCAGTTGCTTCTTTAGCTATAATGCTTTTCTGTTTCCATTTCAGCCGTTCAACATCTAATGCACTCAGATGTGTCTTTGTGCATCAGATGTGTCTGTGAATGAAAATGGCACACTGGGATAGGGGAAAAAAATCAACACCAAATCATCAGGGAATTCTAACATATAGGATTGTGAGCACCGATATACGTCCTATTTCCGCTTTGGCGTACTGTTAAATCCACCGAACGCACCACAGATTAGCCAAATGACTTGCGTACTTCACAATGGTCGGGTTAGCTCTTACTAATGTGCACTGGCCTGGCTAACTGAACGCGCTGAACCAGGTTTTCTGCCCATAGCACTTTTGAGGGAGTCATGCTTGATCTTTCTGGGGCACAAGGAAACTAGGTCACTGTGCTGCTGTCAGTGGCCACCCCCCCCTCCCGGTCCCCCTCCCCACCCTGCGTGCGTGTAGAATAAAAGTGTAAAATAGGGCTTTTACATAAGGACGGGCTCCACAGATATGCCATATACACTGCGCTGCTCTTTCCGACATTTCCTCCTCTCCATTTTGCCCTGCCCCCTCTACCCCCAACGCCACACTGAGAAAAGATGAAATTCTCATCCCCGGTTCAGATCCCTAAGAACGCTTGGGAAGGCTGGATCTTATTATCACACCAAATTTGCAGTGCGCAGAGTGGGGCAGATTAGATGCGTCTTTTTAGCCTTTGAAGTGTATTTTCCGAAGCATTGTGCAGAGGCAAATTCCATCAAGTGTAGGGAGAGAGCGCGATAAGACTGAATGCCACCATATTAAAAGCCTTCATTTGAGCAATAAGGATGAAACACTTGCAAACTCTGGCAAAAAATATTATAAATACTCCCCCCCCCACTCCGTAATTTCAGTGGTGTCATTCACAGCTGTGTTACGGGGGAAGCCACAGGTTCGAATATTAGGTGCGGTAGAGTTTCGTAACAAATGGCTGGATTACGGAGGTGACGAGTATGGGAATTACAGGTTGAATAGGGCTCATTTTTCTTCCTATTTATGTATTGACTCCCTCCACAGAGCAAATAATTCTCAGTTAATCTACAGTGGTATAGTATGTTTGTGGAATTGGCGTAAACAGGTCTCAGCTTTCCCGTAACAATAAAGCAATTTGTCTTATGTCATTTGGAAATGCTTATGGTGACAGGCAGTTTTCAGTGTATCAAGCTAAAAATACGTGGTTTATTTATATACTGTGGTCAAGAAAAGAGCTGATAGAAGGCAAAGTATTTTTTTTCTAACTATGTGGTAAAGGCAAAAATCTTAGATGGTTCAGCTCTATTCTATACTAATATTATCATTTTGGACCGAAAATCGCGATCTTAGACAACACGTTTTTGGGAGCATCAAAGCCGCGTTTTTTTGCAGCGCTCCTAAAAGCCCAATTTTAAAGGCGAAGTATAGTTCTGTGTCGACTCAATGCACACTGTAGCCGTCACCTTGTCACCGTTGTTTTTGATTTATGGGTCTGCGTCGAACTGTATGCGCCACGAAGTAATTCACCACCTCAACGCTAGGAGGCGAGGATTTAAACCTGGCATTCATGTAAAGTTTAACATGAACCATCTCCAACGCGATATACGCACAGAACAGACTCACCATCATCAGCACATCCTTTGTCACAGAAAGAACACTCATATTCACTGAGTCGTGTCCTTTAGTACGACAGAAGCTGACCGCAACAGGGCACAAGGAGCGAGCTGTTTTTTCAGTGTGTATAGTTTATGCAAATGAGCCATGTGGTTTTAAGTTTTGTTTCTGTAAAACGTAAACAAATGTGCGCAAACAGTGCAGCGTCAAATCATCAAATTTTTTCTTAAACTCGTTCAGCCCTAGTATAGAAATAGGACTTTTGGAGCTTTCTCTGGAAGAGGTCATCCATGCATGTTTAAGTAATCTAGCGATCTCTCCCAAGCTCTATTCAGACCCTACTTAAAGTGCCTATGATAGGTTAGACTGCTTATTTCACTAAAACACAGTTAAAATCGTGATTTGCACTTGTTTTAATATATTGGGGTTAATTTTTTACTTTCCGGTTGGAAATCGTTAGCCAGGCTGGTGCCACCAGGTGACTGCTCAATTTCATTTCTCTCCAGCAACTAGGTCAGGAATTGGAATACGCTAGACGCTTTGCAAGAACCCCGGAAGTGCAAGTTCGAGCACCAGCCAATCAACGAAGAGTCATACATTCAGTGTTGTCAATGATTCCAGAGATCGAGGATTTAAAGCTGGAACAAAGAGAATGTGTGGTGAATTTTATCAAGGGGAAAGATGTTATTGCCCTTCTTCTTACGAGATTTTGGAAAAGCTTAATATACCAGTTATCCCCGTTAGTGGCGCATTACATACATCACGAACAAATAGCAGAGATTGGTTAAGTGATAAAAAGTACCCGCTTAGCGTCAAGGGAACAAATTCTAACACTGCAAGGTCAGATGGTTTGTACGAAGTGAAACCGGCTGATGAATCAGGCTAGGAAATCATGACATCACACTAAGGAATTCCATAAGTGTTAGCTAGCAAAACTCTTCTCCTGTACGCAGAACTTATCATCTGACAAATACAATATAACAAAACACCTTTATTTTGTTGAATTCATGTTTCAAGTATAAGAAAAAAAAATCTTATGTGTAAAATGAGCTGAACTTTTGGACAGAATTCTCCCTAGTTTGATGTTGTCGTTTCTCTACTTTTCTTCACAAATTGCTTCTTGATTTGTGTAAAACTATCATTTATATTTACAACAAATATTATTCCACCAAATTTAATGTAAAATTTGAGAATTTGTATTCACTGTCATACTCTAAAGTTTGTAGTACGATTCTGTCCAGCGCTCAGCCCGCAAGCCTTTGTCCTCCATGCTCCCACACGGCAATTCTCCATAAATATACAAAAGCATGATACAAAACAGTACACTACAACCTCACAAAACTGATGTGATGTTCAACCCACGCAGTATTCTAAATGAAATCTCCATCGCAGTCATCATCTTTGCACTGTTCCGTTATTTTATTTGTACTTGTACATCTACCTTTATATAATTATGCCGTATTTGACCAGGTGTCTTTTCTGGTTTTGCAGGTGACCGAAACCTCGTGCAGGAACTCTGGGCCAAAGGTGGGTACAACTGAACTACTTACAAATGCATCATGTGTATTTTAGAATCGCCAATTCTTTAAACTACTTCTATGGACAGAAGTAAGAAGAGCAAAACCCACATCAACACATAAAAGACATTTAAAAGGGCCTGTATCAGATTCTGAACCATGAGCACATAGGGATGTAACGATTTCCAAATATCTCAACACGATATTTTCACGATATGCATCTCACAGTAACGATATTTATTGCAATGTTTTGTGGAGGCTAACAAAATTTTGAACATGCTACTTTTTTCTTTTAAAATGGCTTCATAAGACTTTGGTTTTGTCATAAACTGAAGAACTAAGATTTTAAAGTGCTTACAAACAGTTCTTCATGTACCATATTTTCCGGACTATAGAGTATGAATACCTGAATATAAGCGGCATCAACTAATTTTAACAAAATTTTAAATTGTACACATATAGGCCACACCTGAATATAAGCCGCAGGTGTCGACGTCTTCAAGAACATTTTCAAGTTCAGGCCGTCTGCTTTTATCGCCTCTGAAAGCTTTTGTCGTCTTTTTACTTTGTCAGTTCGTCACTCTGCAGTCGCCAAAGTCTCACCATCGATTCATTGATGCTGAGCTCATGTGCAGCAGCTCTGTTTCCTTCTTCCACAGCCACATCAATTGCCGTTAACTTAAAAGCTGCATCATCTGCATTTCTTCGTGTGTTTTCCATGAGGAGGGTGTATGATTGAAGCGCAAAATAAGCATCTTCCTCGGGTCATCACCCCCGTCTCTCCACGAGATCTACTGCGCATGTCTCCTGCAGAAAGAGCCACTGTCCTGTCTGTATCATGTCAGTGTCTTGTAGGATTTCAGCAGATTTCAGGCACTCTCGGGGGCAGGGCTGGTTCTATCAATCAGGTATGAGTGGAAGTGCGGTTACTGAAGTTTGAGACGTTTCTTCTCATCATTTACACATACAGGTAAGACGTATCCCCCTCACTAATGTTAATTTAGCATCATAACTTATTTTATCACACGGCAATAAACTTTTTGAGTGAGCTGACAATATCGCAAGCCACTGTAGCAACTTCATGTTAACCGTAGATCCATGTGTTAGCCGCACAGACAGCGGTGTTTTCTGCACTCAGGCTGTGCGTATCCGACCATATATAAGAATGGACAATGTGCCAAACAAAGAATCCGTCCATATATTAGCTGCATCGTTTTATTAGCTGCAGTGTTCAAAGCGTGAGAAAAAAGTAGCGGCTTATAGTCTGGAAATTATGGTAGTATACACTGAAACAGAGCAAAGAACCATGGTCTGTTTAGTTCTGTCAGTTTTGCAGCAACACCATAACAGTGATTTAAGGAAAGAAACTTGTGATTTGATATATTGTGATGGCCCACAATATTGAGACTTTTGACAATTCGATATTATAATATTTTGGTTATTGTTACATCCTTATGTGTACAGAACATGTGACTGAATTAACTCTTAGCCCTGCCCACTTTATCATTTTCATTCTGATGTTGAACCACGGCAGAGAAACAGCTGTCTGCAATAGGCTTTATAGACACCAACTACATTCTCATCTAACATTGTTCATAATTGCTTCCTTATGGGTCTCATCCAGTGAAATTCTATTAGCGTTTGTTAGGCTAGTTTTTTTTCTCACAAATTATTGCTTTTACAATACGCTGTATGGGATAAAAGACTTTTTTCTGACCCAGAAGAAATAAGTCAGGTGATACAGGCTCTTTAACTCAAATGGTTCACATATGGCAGACTAATTTCCAATTTTCCCATGTAATTGTAGTCTTAAGTCACTTTGTTGCTTCACTTGCTACCATAACAGACTTATTACATAGAAAAAAATCCAAAACTCTGCCATTGGTTTGTATAATTTTGTGACTAAGTTTAGAATATTCCACTTACATTTTTGATAACTAGCCATTACCACTTTGGCACATCTGTCTTACATCCAAAAATACATTCACTACTTTCTATGGACGTTCTATACTACCACAGAAGAAAGTTGTGAACAACTGAGGAAAACAAGTCCGTTCTGGGAACAGGCTCGAGGTGCTGCTGGACTTTGATCCAGACTCGGCATGTCCTCCTCCTCCTCAACTCTCTGCCCTTTGCCTGGAGTGCTGTGGCTTGTGGGCGTTGGAGCTCCAGACTGTGGGCCCGTGGCTGTAACGCTATGCCCAAACACACACACGTCATCCCCCCCCGTACCCCTCTGCCGTGTCCCCCCGCCTCTCTGGGAGTGTCAGGGGAGCTGAGAGAGGAGAGGTCCCAGAGGAGGTGAGGTCTCTTGGGCTTTGGGCTTCGGTTGCAGCCTTAGATGGAGGTCAAACTGTGCGCAGTCTTAGCACGTCAACAGACACTCTTCCAGCTCCAATCTGCCCTCTCTAGCTGTTTTAAAAGACAGTATTTTGAAATGCTTGCAAAAAGGCCTTTTTTGAAACACACTTTTATTGAATATTATGATATCTGCAGAGTTTTGTTCACAATTGTATATTTACTGACATATGTGTTTATTTTTATATGTACAAGTTGAAGAATTACTATTAAGCAATTTAATAGTCCATATACAGACAGTCTAAAAAACTGAACAAAATAAAAAATATCATGAAAAAGTTAATTATAGTTCATATATTGAGCTTTCTCATGATTTTTTTTTTAGATGGTGTGTTTGTCAATAGTAGTACTACATAACGTTTTACAAAACACACAATGTCAAGCTAAATTTTGATATTGGATAATAAGAAGAGGTACCAATACTTGAACCGACTTCAGTAAAAGTTTTTTTTTTTTTTTTAAATATGTAATTTTCAACTGATGTTTATTGAATTGTGGTCTCACTTTGATCCAAGACAGGGGTGTCAAACTCAAATTCACAGAGGGCCAAAATTAAACACCGGGTCTAAGTCGTGGGCCAAACTAAATATTTATTGAAACATTTCAACAGCATCTGCATGTTTTCTCTTCTTTTGAAATATGTAATGTTAAAACTTTTCTTTTTAAAATAAATGTTTAATAATAGTTTTGCTTAAACCTTGAAAGCAGAACAAGCATAATATAAAATAATAACAAAATTTAAAATAAATAATGTCTCTATAGTCTATCTGTAGTCAGCGGGCCAGCTCTAATACATATTTGATATGATCTCTCGGGCCAGATATAATTATATTGCGGGCAATATTTGGCCCCTGGGCCTGAGTTTGACATCTCTGATCGAAGATTTCTATGAAGACCATTCTAAACCTTTTCAGGATAGGCCCAATTTTGGCATATTTATGTAATTTTTCTTTAACCCCTCTGTTCTTTTGTGTATACTGCTATTATATACAGTCACATCCCTTTTTCAAACATTTTTCATGAAAATACAAATTCACTCACTTCATAGTTCCTAAGTCTTTACATTTTTTTCTTCTTAACGCTTGTGTTTTTTTGCAAATGTATGTATTGAATTTACCCTAAATGTTAAATGTTAAATGTTCTGCTGCATCTTCTTACTCAGTCTAAGTCATAGCTGCTAGTGTGACCCTGTATCCTCCTTGGGATTTTGTTCCACACTCTGATTGGCCCATGCACTCCCCATGTACTGTCTCTGCGATTGGTTTTTGAAGAATCCAGTTCCCACCACTTCTTCTTGAGGTCGGGGTATTTTTAGAGCAGTCTCACTAAATAGAGGGTCTTTTTTGGGGGTGCACTCCCCTTTCACTGCTGCCCGCCTCACCCTTTTATCTGAACCACATTCTTACGACATACCCATCTGATCTAACCACAATCATGCTATTTTTGATTCACATGAAGTAGTACCACCCTCCACCATCTAAGCATGAGGGCTTTTGCAAAAATAATCAGGATTGGATAATGAAATTTAATACACGCGCCCAACAATATGAATTACCAGATCATTGCCATATAAAACGCCACGTAAGCCTAGAATGGATACAGGGGAAACAGAAAGTGACTCGGGAGATTTTTGTTGCATCCTCAAGCATACTTAACGGTGCTTTGTCTGGAATGTTTCACAGTATGGTTTCAAACCTTTCTATCATCATGTACTGTAGACTAAACCAGGCTAAGTTATAGGTCAGGTCTGCGGAGATGCGACCCCGCTTACAGTCAGAATGCCTGCTATTCCAGCTATTTCAAAGTGATAAAAAAAACACCTGTAATTGAATATATGCAAGGTAGAGCTGTTTAATGTCATACTATAGAACATTCCAGGCAGCGCAATGGCCAATATCCATAGAAACAAGCAGGTGACAGACCTCCAGCCAAAAAGTTACACAATGCGTCTTTAAGTAATGTTAATGAGACTTAATTCAGTCAGTAGAGAAAGACAAAAGATGATGTGCCACAAGTTGCTTGATGGGCCATGTCAGATCATATTAATATAGCAATGTCTTTTGGGAGGTGAAATATAAAATTGGAATATCACAATGTCATTCGCATCTGCTCTGCTGCTCCCCTTAACAACTTTAACACACTGCAGATGCTGGAAACTCTTCTAATGAATTCGAACTTCCAAGAATTTGTGGGATAGAAGTTTACACACAACTTTTAAAGGTGCATTGTGTAACTTTTCTGGCGGAGGATATGCCACATTTTTTGTTATTGCTTTGCTTGCATGTTTCACAGTATGGCATTAAAAGTCGATTCACCCTTTTTTTAGGTAATTTTTACTGTTGGGAAATACCTTTCAGAACATGGATTCTTGTGTGAGTGGACCGCCTCTCCACCGAACTGATCTGTATCTTGGCTTGCTTGTTTCCAAGGAGATAGATAAGTTTAATGCCTCACTGTGAAACTTCTTGCCTGAACAATTAAGCACATCTGTATGGAGGCTAGCATGTGGTGTACCCTCCCTAAGAAAAGTTACGCAGTGCACCTTTAACTATAATATACTATATTATACTATAAAACCAAGTTGGCGCTAACCAAATGAAAACCGTGCTTAGGGCTTAGTCTTAATCCATTATATTGTGAATTATTATCTCA